ACATGTATATACATACATACATGCATACATACATACATACATACATACATACATACACACACACACACACGCACACACACACACACAACACACACACACACACACACATATATATATATATATATATATATATATATATATGTGTGTGTGTGTGTTTGTGTGTATATATAGACCATTCACATCACTGTACCGTTTGCTTCTTAGGTATATACTCGGCGACAAGTTCTCTGCGGCTGATGTACTTCTGTGGGCAAATTTAGACTGGTCGTTGGAGTATGACCTGATTTCAGAGGAAGAGAACCCGGATATATATAAATACTACACATTGCTTCGTAAACGAAAGATGAGGCAAGACAACTATCCCCCATTCGTAGGATAAAACAAGTGAAGATGCACTTTTAATAAATGTGCGTTGTATTGAAGCGAACCTTCATGTACGTTTGCTGGCAGTCTCTGATTGGCGTCGTAGACTAACCGCAGCTAGTTTTTAAAGTTTATATTCGGATAAACTTTATCCAGAAGTTGACCTCCATCGAGTTTATTAGGCTGTGTCCAGCTACAATTTATGCTTTGAAGATTGGATATCAAAACAGCTCGGTAGAGCAGTGGTACCTGATATTGCACGGACCTTTTAACATGATCAGCAATGAGTCGGCAACAGCCTTGTACCATAGTGGGCAAGAATATGAATTTCTCCAGTTCACCGGAGAATATCCCGATACTTTGATCACAGAATCAGGCCCAATGCACAAGTGATCCTGGTCTGGGTTTATGTGCTACTGCGTCTCTCTACACTTGTGTCTCTTCCGCTACTACCGCCATTCATATGAAGTTTTCATCCGACGGTGAACAATTCAACAAACTCCCGACTCACCGCCACTCAGCCTATTTTGCCACAGCCCTCAGCTCACGCGCTTCGATTCTGATTCGGAGCACTCAGCTGCTTGCTACACTTTACATATGAACGGATATGCCCCGACGATTGCGCACTAAATTCGTATTAACTTCGCACTAGTTTGGCGAGTTGCCTGTAAATCGGCCGGCGTTAGGCTAGGTGCGCAACAATCTTCCGTTCATGCGATTGATCTCTGTGCTCGAACAGGAAGATCCCTTGCCACGTCCCGAGACACGGCCGACCTGTGAGCAGCCGCGCCAAAAAAAATATTGATAGTAGTGTAATGTAAGTGCAAATGCCTCGATTATGACAGCCAGGCTCACATAGAAAATAGTTGGGGCGATAAAACGAATGAGAGTATCCCAGAACCACCAATGCAAATTTATATACTGTTTCATTGTCCTTTGATAAGTGATTGTAGATCTATAATGAATACAAACACCACATGCAGCATATATGCGTCTTTACATGTCTATAGGCATATATGTGTACACACACGTGTGTGTGTTCAATACTAATATATCAGAAATTACGGAGATGTTGCCGACATTGGGCAATGAACGTTCGTACGTCCCGCTGGTATCCGTTGCATAAAAAATACATGAAATACCATTGAGCCCTATTGTATGAAGCAACAACACATACGTTCAGCAGAATCATGCGGGAATATATAGGTCCTCGCTGTGTACAAATAACTTGGATAACTTCACCAGTCAAGCCCAACTCTATGTAGCATACTGTACAGAGACATCAGTCAAAAACAACATAAATCTTACCATTTGTCACTGGAATTGATATACTCACGGGCAGTAGCGCGTTCTTTATATGGCCAGGCATGTCGTCAGGACCCTCGTATGTATGGGTAAGATACTTCATCGACGGATCTGTTGTTGGCGGAACCAACCGGCTCATGAAATTCTTCATGTCAACCTGAACCTCGGGATCAGCATTTTCTGCATAGTACATGTGGCAGAAGGGTGATTAAGTTTTAACGCATTTCAGGTAGATAGACCGGTATTTTAACTGTGCACGTTGGACAGTATACAGACATGCCTCCTGCCGAGTGAAAATAATGTAGTATGGCGCTCGTCGACCTTGAGGAAGTACTAAACCGTCGATAGAAGTATCGAGTGGATAAGAAACAATGAATATATAGCAAGCGCTTTTGTGTATACAAGCATACTATAATTCGTAGTCAACATGATTGGCTCAATATGGTATAGGGAGCACAACCAGTCATTTTCAAGACAGACAGGCAGCTACTTGACAAAATATATCGGAAGACATGAACGTGTAGCCTATGGATGTGAAACTTCTCGTGTACACAGGTCATCGAGATGCAAACCATGTTAAGAGCGCCTAAGGTACCAACATTAATAGGATGAAATAAACATCAAGTGGTCGAAAAACAAATCAGAAATCCCCTACATGCAGATAGTAGACAGATACCCTAATACTCAGATCATATTCTGTGTAGACAGATACACTAATACTCAGATCATATTTTGTATCGAATGGTCGTAACATTGCTTCAATCAAGCGACAATTGCGAATGTATATCATACTATAAATGCATATACAATAACAACACAATTCAGCTTGTCATACGTTAACTTAAAAATGAAGTGCTTTCCAACTAGGACAATGTGGTATGCAGATTGAACACGTTATTGCCTTCAATCCACAAACTACACTCATGTAGAGTCAGCAATTGGTATCACTTTGGTGTATTATTTGACAGCATGTTGTACCTGTGTATGCTAGCATTCACGCTAGTTGTCAAGTTCCTGTGGTAGGGTTGTCGACCTTAATAGCCCATCATTGCAATCACCATTTCTGCCATAACCATCTAAATTATACATTTCTGCATCTAAAAACAAAATACGACGAACGTCAAATCAATTCGGAATCAGATCAAGGTGTACCATCCATAGTAGAACTAACATAAAAAATATATTAAAATACCTGAGATTAATAGACTGCAGCTTGTATGCTGTACAAACAATGTCAGTAGCCCTACTTTGACACCACTCTTCGCACACCAAGCCGTGACATCCTTAGTGAACTCGTAGGTGCCCGCACCTCTGCTTCGCACTCTGAACGTGGTTTGCATGATCAGAACTAAGGTAATGTGCGCAAGTACGAGATATATATATATATATATATGTGTGTGTGTACACGTATATACGTATGTGTGTGTTTTAATGAATGTACACGCGTTTATGTATGTGTATGTGTGGTTGTGTGTACACATACACGTGTTGTTATGTCAGTGTCTGTAGAGACGTACACGTAACTATACCCAATGGCCAACAAACTAATAAAACTGCGACAAGCTGTACATATCTCGATTTATTTTTGAGACGTCGTAGCCAAGCCGCAATACAAAGTTGGCTCGTCATCATTCGTGATATCAGACCGCCACCAGCTTACCTAATTAGGGAAGCTGGTTTTAGCGGGCTCTCGTAGTCAATCCAAATGTAGTTGAAGTCCAGACGTCCGACGATCGCACCAATAAGTATTTAAATAGAACGCACAGTTACCATAGCTGAAACAGTCAGACATAAGGTGTTTAGCTAGAGCGTGCATGTTTAGCTAACACAGCCATAGAGGTACAAGGTGCATGTCCAGCTAAAGCAGTCACAGAGGTATCCGGTGCGTGTGTATTGAGCACAAGGGGTTTAGATAAAGCGACGGAGAATGATACGAGTACAATATGTGCGGTCGCTATTCGTGTGCATTGGTAAGTATCGCAGTTTGTAGTGGATCTCCAAGTTACTTGATGCGTACTTGCATCCGGTATAAGGAACTTAGAGGTGTGGTTTATAAGAAGTACTATCGGTAGAAGCGCAAAGCTGCGTCGTATGACAACATAGTTTCAAGTGTTCTATTACGACATGCATTCATCCGTTGTGAGCTTTAAAATCAGGGACGTGCTTTTCGTTCGACATTGTAGCTTGTGATAGTGATAAAAGAATATCTCACTTTGTATTCAATGCATAATTCAATTATTTCAGAATGAACCTCGCCAGATTGCTCCTGCGTGTTTCATTTCTTTCTTTTAGTATACAAGTATAGCGCTAAATGGTTGAGTGCCAATCACTTTCGTGGCTGTACTATGCACAATCCAAATTACCACGTGGTATGAGTTATGACTCGAAACGATGCACATCAATCGCAAGCATATTACGTGTTATAAATCATAGATACATTATGTGTGTGTTTATTAATCATAAGCACATTACGTGTGTTTACCTTTTACTTCCCTGTTAGAACTTCATAGTGGTGGTGGCAGTATCACTATTTCAAGGGTACAAGTTTTCTTTTGTGTGCACGCAATTACGAACAGGCAATCATTGCCAGGATCTGTTCAACTTCTTTATTTTAAAACCTGGGTCGTGTTTTGGTAAGCGATCGCCAGAGAGTGCTTTGCATATAAATACATATTCAAGACTTTTAGACACGGCAATACTGCAATAGGGTGGACATAAGTGCATGGTGATTACTTTAATATCAGCAATCCAGATATAAACACAGAAGTGTACTTTTTTCCGCGGGCATCTACTTACAAGTATATACACCGATGTTATAACACAGCATGAGGAGACTATACTGAACGAAGCACGTGTGCGCCCTGAGAACTGGGTGGGTCGAGAGGCGTACAGGCCCAGTTATAATGTTGGACCCTCTCGAAGCCAGCCAGTATTAATCGCCACTAAGGGAAAGACAGCTACGGAACCAAGTGACGAATCACACAGAAGAACGACAGATGAAGATGGTGGAGGAGATGGGGGGTTAGATCACGACAGTTCATATACGGGAACACACAGAGAGCTGCATGCAATGGTAGGTATCCTTGTTGCTCAGTGAGATGCTTCATAGTGTATTGTGTGGGCTAATTACTTCGCATAAGCGTCACTGTCATGTTGTGCTCAAGTTTTATGTACTGTACATCTGCACTAAGTTACGTAAGGACTACTATTTCGAAACACCACCAAAAATGGAGGCAGATTTCACTGCCGAACAAAATGTATTCAATCGAAGCACACTACATCTGGTATCTATTTGTGTTTGTACACCTGTGCACTTCATATACTCCGAATAGTGATAGGGATAGACCATATCAGGCAATTGGTAAGTAGCGTACACTTATGTGCAATGATCTCCGTGTTGAGATGGAGTGCTTCCACTTCAATGACGGAGTTTTCACGTCGCGCTTCAGAATTGCGTTAATGTTGACTCAAACTCAATTCCAGTCACTAGAGTCTGCTATGTGCAATAAACCCGTGTATCTTCTACAAAGGATATATATGCACACATTTTCTTTCATCTTACTTGTACAACACGGCAATTGAATGCCCACACATGCAATGCCTTACACTCGACAGCGATGGGGGTTGTGGCCCAGGTGGTCCAAAACACAGGACGAAGCGTACAAGAGTAGTTTCCGAACCATCAACGCTCGTAGCGAGTCTGTGCAGGAGAAGGTCATGTTCAAGGGACTCGTAGACACCAGACGTTGTGTAGTACTGTGCGAAGGGTATGGCGGATGGGTTGTGAGTATGGCTCCGTATATCGAGTGTGTATATTTACATACTGTGCATATGATAGTGTTGCATGAGTATATGAAGTGAATCCGATAAGATAAGGGGTCTTCATATCCGATACGATAAGGGGACCGCATATCCGATAAGATAAGGGGTCCTCGTATCCGATAAGATAAGGGGTCGTCAAATCCGATAAGATAGGGGGACCTCATATCCGATAGGATAGGGGGACCTCATATCCGATATGATAAGGGGTCCTCATATCCGATAATATATGGGGACCTCATATCCAGATAAGAGATCCTCATATTCGATAAGATATGGGTCCTCATATCCGATAAGATAAGGAGTCCTCATATCCAGATAAGGGATCCTCATATCCGATAAGATATGGGGACCTCATATCCGATAGGATAAGGGGACCTCATATCCGATCAGATAACGGGACCTCATATCCTAAAATATAAGGGGTCCTCATATCCAGATACGGGATCCTCATATTCGATAAGATAGGGGGTCCTCATATCCAATAAAATATGGGGTCCTCATATCCTATAAGATAAGGGGTCCTCATATCCGATAAGATAA